CCAGACAGACCCTGGATCCAACCTGAAGCTGGTGTTTTATCATCCTATGCTATTTCTAAACCTAATACTGTGAGAACTTGGACGCAGTCTGAAATACTAATACTTGGAGCCTACTATAAAGCTGATATAATTGCACCATTTACTTCTTCAGAATCAGAGGCATATGGAGAAACTTTTTTAATAAATCATTTTGGTGTCTGGTCTACATTTGTATCTCTTTCACCAGCAGAAACTCTTCTTTCCCGGGACCAGTATTTCATAGCTTTGTCAACCGAGATAGCTACCAAAGAAAACCAAGGTAAAAATTATTCTCTGCAGCCTGGCCAACTCATAAATATTTTACTCCGTACACTTTCAAAGATTGGATCCTTAGAACTAGTCCCCAGAACTGTAGCAACAAATTGCAATTTATCAAGACAAAAGGCCTTGATGTCCTGTCTACCTCCTTTAGCACTTTTTCTCCAGTTCTATCCTTTCTTACTGTGTGTTATCTCCCACCTCCATATATATTGTCCCTTTCCTCTTTATTCTTTCCTCCTCACATATTCCCTTCACCATGCATTTTCCCTTCTATCCCTGCCCCCTTCTTGAGTGTTTAAATGACAGTCTAATCCAGAACTACCTTCCCTAAATTTTACTGAGGTGTCCATTCTTTCTAATACTTTTTCTTTCTTGCATTGTTCTCCAGCCATAGATTTAAGGAAAAAAAAAAAACACCTCTGATGCCTGGATCTCAATTTGAAACTGAGCCGAAGTATGAACTCAGTATGAGATCTAAGTCTGAACGTCAGACTGGACAACCTCTGAGGCATTCAGAACTCCAGGTTTCTTTGTCTGAAGGTCACCTGGGTGTAACCTGGCAAGAGAATCTCCAGACTCTCTGGCTCTTTAAAACAGCTGTTAGTCCTCACACTACCACAGGCAAGTTTAGCATTGTCATCTTTGTGAATTATTTACCTGGGGTCACAGGTCTCTTTGGAGTTTGAAGCCTAGTTTCTGAATAAGCAAGATGTGATTTTTTTAGACTGCAAGTCTAAAATTCGAGTCATGGTTTTACAGATCAAGTTAAGGACATAATGTTTGTGAGATCCAAATATTGAGAGAATATCTTACTTAAGCACAGTATGTTTTTCTGACCCAAATCTTTAGAGTGTAATTATTTCTGGAAATCAACTCTTAGTTCTTTGGAAGAGGATCATTATTTTACTTGAAGAATAGATACACTTCTAATTATCAGTCAAGGACGATATGCAGAAAGCCCATTTCTGTACCTAATATTGTGTGGTTAGTAGCGTATTTCTGAGCAACCCCCCAAAGTTGAAGATGTCAAATTTTCAAATATTTTTCTAAAATGTAAAAGCAGAAATGAGTTTACTCAGAATATATGGGGTAGTAGCATTAACTTTGTGCACCATATGAATTCATTTTTCGGAGTGTGGATTTTGCCCTGGCTTTGTTTCTCACTGTCCCAACTGTTGGAAGGCAGAAATGGGTGAATTTCCCTGGACGGTTTCTGCACAACTGTCTTTCTCTCATTTTTGTGCTGGCTCAATACTGAGTGAACAGTGGATCCTTACTTCTGCTAGATGTGCCAATTTCATGTATGTCTGAATAAGTCACTTTAAAGTATCATTATAAACTGATGAAATGTTTGATATTGTGCATAGGTAGCTTTTTTTGAACAAAGTAGATATATTCCCTTCTTTACAGATATCAACATTGATGTATCTCCTTATCGGCAATAATGGCATGTGTTTATTTCCTTTGCTAATAAGAAAGCACACATAGCCCAAGCACTGGGTAAGACATATTTCTAGATTTTTTTTTTTGTTATGAAGACTATCATTTCCTATTTTATTCATTTTTCTCATGCAGGTCCAAATTAGCATTTATCCACTCAGGAATAATTTTGGAAGTCAAACAACACATTTGCAAATTGTAAAAGAATAAACTGTTTTAAACATTTTTGTCTATATGATGATGGAAAATATGCTGTTTAAATCATAACCTATAAATAAACATTTACTGATTTATGATGCTTCCTCATATATTTTTACCGTTTTAATTTTTTAGTTCACTTAAAAATAGTGCAAAAGTGACAGGGATCTTGTAGAAACTATGTTTTGAGTTTTGATTTTTCCCTAGCACAGTGACTTGAAATATGAAAACTTAGTGGAATGCTGAGCGGTGCCAGCTAGCTGTAGTTGCCAGTCAGCCATGCAATCAACAACTAAGCAGCTGTACACTAGTATGCATTTTATGGGTAAGACTGTTGGTAAACTATGGTGTTCTGTAAATTAGGTGTATTAAATGCATTTTCCATTTACCATATTTTCAACTTATACGTTTATCAGGGTATATCCTAATTGTAAGAAGAGGGGCCTTTGTCTCAGAATTCCTGTTTATCTACTCATGATGTTGGGATTTTTGTCCCTTAAAGTTCAGTTTATTCGTTTCTAAAATAATAATGTCTATCTGAAGAAATTTCTTATGGTATAAATTTCAAGGCATTGGATAAGAGAAATAAGGCTCGGATAAAGGGAGTTATTGTCTATCTTCTTAGTGGTATATTTTGATTCCTAACTGTCAAAGTCTCTTATCACCAATAATAATCATTGTAAATATTAAATAGTACAATGATTAAGTTATAGTATTTTTGTGGCTGAAGATAAAATCCAAGACTTCATGTGTGCTAGGCAAGTGCTGTACCACTGAGCTGAATTAGCAGGCCTCAAATCAGGAATTATCAACAAGGATATTGATTGTACCACACTATTAACACTTCTAAAAATAAGTACAATTGATGAAGTTAATAATGCTTTATCTTTTTAAAAATTTTTGTTGCTTATTAGGAATTTTTAGGTATATAGTACAGTTGTATTCAGCATTGGGATCTTGTACTTTTAAATGATGTATCTTGGTTCTTATTTTTGCCCCATTCCCCTGCCCTCCCTTCACCTTCTCCACCCACCCTCGTTTACAAAGACTGTTTCCAGTTTTTTCTTTTCTCCTACTTTTTCTTTTCCACTCTTTCCTTTCCCCTACACTTCCCACTTCCTCTACTGCTTTAAACCCTTTCTTCCTATTTCACATTATCAATTATACATTTGAACCTTATTTACATTTTTAGTTTTTCACTCCAGAGAAACTATTCAGTATTTGTATGGGTGTCCTATTTATTTCTCTTAAGAGTACGGCCTTGGGCTGGTGGTTTGGCTCTGTGGTCTCCCCATCTGCCTCACAAGTGCAAAGGCCCAAGTTCTATCCCTGATACCAAAAACAAACAAACAAACACACACACACACACACACACACACACACACACACACACACACACAACAAAAAAGAGTATGGCCTCAATGTGCATCCAATTAGCTATAAATATCTCTGGTTTCTCATTCTTTAGGGCTGAGTGGTATTCCATTTTATAGAAAAGCCACATCTTCTTTATCCAGTTGATGGACAATTGGGCTGTTTCCAAATTTTAGCTATTAAAAACTGTGCCACTATAAACATGGGTAAGCATATGTCACGTTAGTGTGATTTTAAAAATCGTTTTGGAAAGATACCAAGCAGAGTGATAGCTGAGTAAAATGAACCTCTAATCCTACTTGCTTGAGTTTTCTCCATATTGATTTCCACACTGGTTGCAACAGTCTACATCTACAAGAAAAAAGGACTCCTTTCTCCCCGACAACCTACCAGCATTTGTTATTGGTTGATTTCTTGATAGCAGCCATTCTTTCTGGGGTGAGATGGAATCTCAGTGTTGTTTTCATCTGCATCTCTCAAATGACCAGGATGTTGAATATTTTTTCATTGTTTATTTGTTGCTTTTACTTTGATAAATGTATTTCATTTCTGATGTCCATTTTTTAAACTGGATCTTTATATTTGGGGGTTTTGATTTTTTTTAGTTCTTTATATATTCTATATAGCAATTTGTCAGAGGAAGAGCTAGTGAAATATTTTCCCACATTGTAGGTTGTCCTTTGGCTCTCTTGGTGGTTTCTTTTGCAGTATAAGTAGAGACTTTCTACGTTAATATTTAGATATTTAATCCACTTGGATTTTAGTTTAGTGCCTGGTGAAAGATGGAGTCTAATTTAATGTTTGAGGTTGAAATCTAGTTTTGCCCAACACTATTTATTAAAAGGGCTATCTATTCCACTGATCCTCGGGTCTGTCTCTTTGACATTACCTTGCTGTTTTTAATCACAGTGGTATAGTTTCAAGTTGGGGATTGTGAGCCCCCTGTCACGTCTGTGTTGCCTAGAGTTGCTTTTGGTATTCTAGGTCTCTTCTAAATGTTTGGATTGTTTTCTCTAGTTCTGCGAAATATGTAGTAAGGATTTCAGTTAGGATTGCATTGAACCTCTGTAGCAGTTTTGGAGGCCTGGCCATTTCCACTCTATTGGTTCCTCCTACCCAGGGGCAAGGGATGTCTTTTCATTTTCTTATATCCTTTTTGATCTCTTTTTTCAGAGTGTTGCTGTTTTCAGTGTAGAGATTTTTTGTTTCCTTCACTAGATTGATTCCTAGATATTTCATTTATTGGATGCTATTATGAAGGGAATTATTTCCCTAATTTCCCTCTCACTGAGTCTGTTATTTGTGTACAAGGAGGCTATTGGTTTTGGGGTGTAGACCTAGTATATATTTACTCCACTGAATCTGTCAATTAAGTCTAGAAGTCTTCTATGGCTTATTATCTTTAATATTTCCTATATTTCTAATATATTTGGGGTCAATAAATAGACTAGGCCTAAGAATAGGCTTGTGTTCTCCAGGATGGCATCAGTTTATGTGAAATCAATGTTTCTTTTTTCACTTTGGAATAATAAACTCTTGATAAATTTTTCCTCCAGAAAAAACTCAGAGGCCTTCAGGTTGGTACAAGTGGGGCTTATTGATCTTCAGGACTCAGCTCAAGCTCACATTGTAGGCATTCACTATGCCATGCCCTACATAGGTCCCGAGGGACCGCTAGGACCTGGACTGCTCTTTCTGAAGGAGCCACTACATTTTCAACCTCGCATACTACCTATTTGCCTGGAGAAGAGTCTGGAGCAAGTGAAAAATAAACAACTCTATGACTGCTGGCTACCCAGTTGGTCTCTTACGAGGGGTAAGTAATGAAGAAGGAATTGAGGTAGGATAGAATCATTGCTGGGAAAGAGAGTACTGTCCTCTCATGAGCAGTAGTAGAACACTTATTATGTCTCTCTTCAGCCATATTTTCCCCCAGATTTAGTCTAAATTTAAAACAAAATAAAGTGAAACAAAAGCCAAACAAACCTTTCTTCTTGTCAATCAGGAAAACCTGGAATTTTGCAAAAAAGACACCTGAGCATCCTGCAAGCCAGCACTTGTACACAATTTGGGCCCGAGATAAATGAATTAACTTTCTGTGTGGAAGCCAGGAACACTACTGGGGAGGCTGGCTGTAAGGTGACAAAATGAGGGAATATTAAAGATGTGGGGTAAAGACACTCTTCTACACTGAAATCATTTCCTATTTCTTTAGGACAACTAAAACACTTTTCTGTTTCTCACAGGGTGATATAGGAGCTCCTCTGGTGTGCCGCCTACAACAGAAGAACACCTGGGTACAGGTGGGAATATTGATTTACTTTGATGAACATTGCCAAAAGCCCTACATCTTCAGCCAAGTGAGCCCTTTCATTTTCTGGCTCCAGGGAGTAACAAGGCCTTGCCATGCACCCTGGTCTCAGCAATGGTCCATGATTAACTCTGCTCCTACATGCCTTTCAGTCTCTACCTCTGGAAATGCTTCAGAGTTTACTTCTAGTTCAGCTTCTATTCAGCCACACTTCATTTCTCTACCACAGCCTCAGAGGAAGACCCAAGACAATACTAGTAAAGAAGGTATGAGAATAAAATGAAGAGAACAATGGAAATAGAAATGAAGAAAGAAGGATGAGGGAAAGTTCTTAACTCAAACAGCAGGAACCTTTTTGTATACTAAGAGGAACTGTTTTTCTAACGTTTACAAAGACCTCTGATACAGTGTATAGTTTAAATTTCTTAATCTCCCTATGTAATAGAGGTAACAATAGTTATTTTAATTATCTTATTTACTTTTGAGACCCTGGGATGCGGAAACGTCGTTCCATTTATAGCACTGACACTCAAACTCATTCTGAATTATGTCTTTACCGAGTACATTGCATGTCTAGTAAAAAAAAAAATGTTTGAAGTATTTTATTTGTGTTGATAAGCAGATAATAACTAATTTGTATGTTTTTACTTTATATACTATTCTGGTTGTCATCTTCCTTCTTCCCCTTGACTATTCTAAAGACTATCACAATATATCTGTGGCTATTTTACATTTATGGGCTTTTCCTTACCCAGAAATCTGTTTCACTCCTATGTGCTGTACTTTCATTTCAGTAAACACACTTGTCATCTATCTCCTGTTGCCACACATATAAAGAATATTGCTTTTCATACCTAAGTGGGGCATAAAACTTCTTCACTCAAATACTGATTCATGCAGTTCTTCATATAGACAACTCAAAGTGGGCTATCCCAATGATCCACATTATGTTTCCAGTTTCACCCATACAGTAATACCTCTGTTCAGGAATGCTTCTGTTTGCAAACAATATGGTTCACAGACGAAAACACTGACATTTTTTACTTCAGTTCATAAACTACAATCGGATGACAAACAGAATCCAGGCCATCTTCTTCACAAAAACACAAATGCAGCCACCACCATCCCAACTGCAAAACAAATTAGAATTGTAAAGTGATATACCACTACATTTTCTATTCATTTGTGATCAGCTAATAAATTATTAACTACTTTTTTTAATGTGTACATTATCCTGCATTCCTACAACTTGCCAATACTTGAGGAACTCTAAAATTTGGGTTTAAATATGTGCTCTTTTCTAATCTTCAAACCAGGATTTCCTATTTGTAATATCTGCTTTATAGAGGTTCTAATTTTAGTTAATTCAGTATCTTCAAGTTCAAGTATAGATGTCTTAGCTCCAAATTATAACAAACTAATAGCTAAATAAAGTTTGTAATTGGAGAGAAATCTGAATAGTTCTTAATTTTGACTAAAGGTAATATAGTGTGGACTATAAAGAAACAATAGGCTTGGAAAGATAAAAGAAGACTTTTCAGACAAATATCAGACAGAATGACAGAGCTGCTTATGTGCAGCTATTAAGGTGCCAACCTATTTAGTATGACTGATTAAAAACTTGACAAAATGGGATACCAATTGTTCACCAACTATACTTTTTTCTCAGCTTTGACAGATCGGATTTCTCTTCATTATGCTATGCCTGGGCAGGCCATTATCATAAACTGTGGCAGTCAAGTCTGCAGTGGATCCGTTATTAGCAGCTCTTGGTTTCTCACTGCTGCCCACTGTGTCAGAAACATGTAAGCTTGTGTTTTGCCTCTTTCAATATCACATTATTTACATTCAGATTAGACTGCTAAATATTTCTTTGGGTAAAATAACTTCCATAGTTTCTTGTGCCATGACATCTTTGTTTGAGGCTGACCAAACAACTGTCCATGTCTAATTGGTTGGTGCTTCTGTTATTTAATTCTCCTGTAATCCTAGTGTTTGTGAACTCTGACTCCTTTAATAGACTTCTTAATTCTCTGGAGTAAGCTAGAGATCTCCCGTGGTGGAGCCAAAGCAATACCTTGAAAAGCCTAATATGGTCTTAAGGTTGAATTTTCCTAGTGAGTCTCTTTTAATTAATTCCTACCCACATGTGTAGGACTCCTGAAGATTCTGTTGTCATACTGGGCTTTAGACATCCTGGGGCACCTCTGAGAGTTGTCAAGGTGTCTAACATTCTATTGCATGAGAGATTCCGGTTGGTGAATGGGGCAGCAAAAAATGATCTAGCATTATTGCTCCTTCAAGAAGTCCAGACACCCCTTCCGATATTAGCGCCTTTGGGCCATATGAAGAATCTAAGCAACTCAGATTGTTGGCTTACTGGACCACAAATTCTTAAACCAGGTTAGTTATTTCCTCTCTTAATTAGGAAATCGATTCTATAACAAGATTATACTTTTAATACCTGAGTCTAGGGGAAAAAACTATAATTATAATTATATAATTATACTAATTTTATAATGTCTATATAATATAACGTAAATTATAGAACATATATCAAGGTTATTTATATGGCTATATTACTAATTTTATATTTTAAATATATTTTATTATATGTTATTATATTTTTGTAATTTATATAGTCAAGATTTATATAAAATCAGAAACCTAAATGGTGACTTTTTTTTTCCATAAAATGATTGTCTTGATGATGACGCCAAGGGTTGTTAGTGATGGAAAAGAAATAGGAAGATCTTTTTGTGTGGGTTGGAATATTTCCTATGCAAGATAGAGGTGACTAAAGTTTCAACTCTGCTAATTTTGGAACTGAGGACAAATGAAGTTTTTGTTTAGGTTTTACCTATTGAAAGTAATGAAAATCAATTTGAATTGGAATTTGGCTTTGTACCAATCAAAAAATTCTATATTTTGATTAAGTGGTAGGGTGAGATTCTAATGGCATGAGAAAAATAATTTTTCATCATAAGTTAGAGATACAGTTTTAAGTGATAAATCAGAATATAGTCATCTCAATGTTTGCTGATTCAATATGACCTATTACTTGAAGATTTATATATTCCATCTCTTATCCCAGGACATACAGATGAAAATCCAGAAATGTTACAGATTCAGGTTATGCAAACTTCGACCTGTGCCTATCTATACCCTGATATAGGTGGTTCTGTTATTTGCTTCATTGCTAAGGCCAAAGGTGCTGACACAATTATGGTAAGACTCTCATGCTTTGTTTTTTTTCTTTTTCAGGATGTTAGAAACTTTCAATGTGTGTGTAAAAAAGTAGACCATCTACCTTTAAATGATAAAGGTTTGCCCACTGAAATTACATTTTTAAAAATTCTGATCAAACTTTAGAAATATATTGACAATTTTGATATACATGACACATATTTTCCTCTCTACACTGCATCATTGATTTTAGTATTTTCAATACAAGTTAGGCATTGACATCATTCTCCTCTTTTGCAATATGATGTTCTTGCTTCTTAAGTCCTTTTTCTAATTCCCTTGTAAAATACAATTTTGTGGTTGAATTTACAAGTTTTTCTTATGCCAGTATATTCTAGAATACATTTGGTGAGAATGATTTACTTATGCACCTGTCTTAAATCTCTCCCTTTCCTGAATACTTATTACAACTTATGAATTCTAGAATTGAATAAGAATATGGGAAAAGGACTTAAAGCTAATTCTATCTTTGACTTCACAGGAGCCAGTGAGTCCGGGCAGTGCAGCTTTGTGCAGAGATGTGACTGAAAATGGCAGATGGAGACAAGTAGGCTTTGCCAGTGTCAAGGCTCTAGCTACCATTGTGAGTCCACATTTCTCCTGGATCTTATCAACTTCAGAAAAATCTGGTTATCCAATAAACCAGGCCATTATGCCTTGGATGGAAAAGCCAAAATCCTCCAGTCTCCTGAAACAATCAAATACATTACCACTTTTGTCAATACTGATTGCTGCAGCCCAGACAATTTTATAGTCCAGTAGCTAGAGTTGGAAGTGCTAATCTCTTTATCCTGAGAGATAAGATGAAACAGCACAAAGCAAAAGATTGACCTGTGTTATATAGTCTTTAATAAATAGAGTTTTTCTCCATAGTCTGTTCTTTTCTTACTGCTTTTACTTTTCTAAGACAAAAATATCTACCAGTTAAAGGAAAAGCAGTTTATTTTGGCTTACAGTTTGCAGAGATTTCAGTCTACAGATAACAGGGGAGAATGGGAAGGCACAAACATGATCACTGTAGAGAGCAGAGTTCATGACATAGCAGTGAGAAGGGGGCATGACCAAGGGAAGAAAAGGGATATATGTTGTTCTAGGCCATTCCCACAGTGATCCAGCTCTTCCCAACAGACTTCATGTTCCAACATCATTCCCAGCTATAAACCTATAAGTAGACTAACCCAGTGATGAGAATCACACTCCCAGGGCCATTCAGACTGTCAGATATATGGGTGGGAGGAATGACGGGAATAAAAAGAGACAGAGTTGGGGTCTTGGGATTTAGCTCAGTGGTGATGCTACCTGCTTCACAAGCACAAAAACCTGAAGAAAGAAAGGAAAGAATGATCTCCATGGTTAGCTGTCTTGTTAGCTAGCAAGAAGCATAGGGGAAAAGAGTGGTACATCATTCATGGAGAAATAGCTGTTGAAAAGATATTCTGAAAAATAGAGAACAGATTAAACTTTTACAAGGGTAGTGTGTGAAAGGGAACAAGATCTTCCTTTACTTGGAAGTCTGCCTAAGTTAATAAGAAACTAGCATTCTTTGCATTTCCTCAACAGATGTTATCTTGCCACGGGAGTGCTGTGAGTACAAGCACTCTCCACGCAGACAGAAAGCACACAGTTTTCTGTATGCTTTTCTGTTTCCCTAGCAGGTCACATCAACTTCTGCCATGTAGGGTGTAGTCACACAATCTGTTCCTAAAAATTCCTCCCATAGCCTGGTTCCCAACATTATACCACTATGATCCAATCATCTTACAAAAGCCCCACCTATGAGTGCATGAGGCATTGGGGATTCATCTAATATAAACCATAACGTTGTATTACTAGCTCTTAGAAGACTCGTGCACAACACTTTATGCAAAATGAATTTAATCTATTCCTGTAAGTTGTTACGTTCCTAATAGTTTTAACATTGCTGAGAAGTCCAAGTCCAATACCTCCTTTGACATTTAAAACAAACTCTTAGCTATGTGCTTTTATAAGAATTTTAAAAAAACAAATGTTTCCAACATACCGTGTCACAGAGTAAATATTTTCATTCCAAAAGGGAGAAATTGGATAGAAAGGAATGGAACCAAAGAAAGACCAAAATCTAGCTGGGAAAACATAAAATATTATAGCACTTTGTCCAGCATCAGGGCAGTTTATTGCCATAAATTGTGAACTTTAAGTCACTTGGATGTCCTGGATTGTATGGCACAACTGTGGATAGAATCCACCTGACCAGCTTTGTTAAGGCCTTTAATCTTTCCTCAGTTTATCCATGTTCCTGGCTTCTCCAGAGTTCTAAACTCTCCACTGTGCTTGACACTCACAGCTTTATACACCGCCCACTCAGGAGCACACTGCTTGGCCTCCAAGACCTTCTTCTGAAATCTAGGTGGAAGCATCCTTGATCCTATAACTCTCATTCCCTGTGCACCTGAAACCAGCACCATGTAAGCGATGGAAGATGTAGCAGGGCCCATTTGCCTTTTCCCGTGGTTCTGATAAACTTTTATCACTAACTATAAACCTACAAGGTATCACAATGTAGAATGGCTTCTGTTGCCTCTAACAGAAGTTTGCTTTGTTTAGTTCAGGATTAATAGACATCAGAAGCATTAACTACTGAATGAGGCATCTGGTCATCCTGAGATAACAGAGCACACTTAAGACCCTGAGGTCCAAAGTTCTGTAAATTACATCTTGTAAAAGTCTTAATATAAAAAGTATCCATTTCCTATGAACGACTCTAATTTCTCCTTCTTTATGGCTGAGTAGCATACTGAGGATATACTCAAGTGAAATAGATAAGTCACACACATGTACCTACCAAGTAGTTTCTCTGGTGTGAAAAATTTTATGTACATAAGATCCAAATGGTATAATGGACAATGGGAAGTAGGAAGAAAGGGGCTAAAGGTGTAAGGGAAATGAGAAGGGTAAGGGCAAGGAAATAAGGAAAAAGGTAAAAAACATGAAAAAATGAAAATGAAGTATTTGTAAATAGGGAAGGGAGGAGGGGTTGAAGGGAGGACAGGGATAAGGGGAAAAAATGAGAACCAACACCTGTCGTGTAAAGGTACAAGATCCCAGTGATGAATGTACCTGTTTTGTATAGCTAAAATGTACCAATAAACTCAATGAGAAAAAAAAGTACACTGTTAACTTTGTTTTTCTGACTGGGAACACCCTCCTTCCTATGGGCTAAGATAGCTGGGCCAACTTTCAAGGTAAACGCCCCTAACAACAAAGAAGTTCAGGCTTAAATTTTAACTGTGTGTGTGTTCACCTAACGAAAGGCAAAAACAAGGAAAAATATTTTTAAAACTTACAGGAACAGGAGATTTCAGACTAGTCTCATAGAAGGTTCAATAGGCATTAAATATATAATAGTGACATAAGCACAAACCCAAAGAATTTGTAAAATGATGTACGTATATTTTATTATTTCAATAAGATTAATATGAAATCTCCTTGAAATGAACTAGCCTAAAAGTCCTAAGCCAATTCAATAGATATTATAAAAAGGACAATAGTATTGGTCATAGTGACCTCTCCTGTCTGCAGAGTTTGGAAAGTGCGTTTTAGCTGCATCTCCATTTTCGCTAACTCTGCTTCCTCCTCACTTTGCACACTCAAAAGCTTCACCAGTAGAAAGTTCTCACATCCTGAGAGACACAATACAAAATTGATAGTGAGTCCTACCTATTTCAGGGGAATCACTGTTTGAGTCTTTGCTGGAAAATCAGTCCATCAGATACATTCATCCTTTAAGTTCAAAGCCCATATCACATCTGAAAATGAATTACTATTTTTGTAATATTATCAAAATATTCCAAATAATAAAAGGGATGAAACCAATCCATATTCATGAATTAAGGCCATCACTAACCTGATACTGGAGTCTCCATAGGAGTATTTTTAAAATAGCTTTCATTATGAGTTATATTGTGTTGCAAATTCCCATTTTGCCAAGAACATATCAGCTCTGGGCCATTCTGAAAAGCAGCAGGAATTTGAAGGGGTTTGGTCAAAGAACTGGCACAAGGTGACTTGGAATGTAACATCAAGAGATGATCCGGCGGGCGCTTCCATCACAGCCCCAGTGACAGCCAACAAGGTGAGATTCAGAGAGAGTGGCTCAGCGGGGACATCGCATCTCCCTTCACCCACCTGGACCGAGCCCACCGGGCAGGGTAGCCACACCCTTTGTTGCGGGCACCAACATCACTGCCCCAGCCCCAGGACTGTAGCCACGAGGGCGCTGCTGAGCAACGCCCCGCCTCCCCAGATACCCTGACTGTGCCAGACCTTGGACCTACTCCGCAGAGACGTAGCTGGTTATAAAGGGTGAATTTCTTTGGTTTTTTTTTTGTTTGTTTGTTTTTGTTGTTGTTTGTATTTTTTTCTTTCAGACAAGATCTCACTGTACAGTTCAGACTGACCTGGAACTCACTATGTAGCCCAGGCTGGTCTTGAACTCACAGCGATCTTCCTGCCTCAGACTCCAAAGTGCTGCGATTAAAGGCGTGTGCCACCATGCCCAGTAAGGGTGATTTTCTGAGCTCCCAAATTTGAACATCTGCAAAGAAGGGTCAGGGGAAACCTGTGATAGAACTGTCTGGAGTTCAACCCTGCAGGTTGGGGCACTCAAATTGGTCCTTGTGGCCTGAGGTCAGTCCGCGGAATGGGTTTCTGCCTTTGACTAGAAGAGATGGGGATGTGGTTCTCACATGGCTGCACACAATGTGTGTTATGACAGCAGAAATATAGTCTGAAAGAGGCCCTTCAAAGTCATTTTTTTGTCCTTTCTTTTCCTCAATCTGCTCTGTAAATTATTTTTTCCATCCTGTTTCACCAACACAGGCTCTTCCTCCACCCTATTGGCCCTCACCTCCTTTTCTGTTCCTGCTCTTGCCCTAATTAAGATTTATTTTATCATTTTTCTTTTCTTTTATTGTTTTCCTACCATTGAGCCCCACTCAAACGTCGGGAGTTTCAAGGGAAAGTGAGCCCCTATAACTATTAAGGGGACATAATCTTGTCATTGTACTTGCGCTCTGTCTATCTCTTTTTTGAGTTTTACAGTCTCCTAAAGGTCGTCTGGTCATTCTGTGTCCTCTGGCTTCACTTGAAACCTTCTGCAGTACTTTTACTTGTTTACTCTTCTCATCCTAACTAGGTCTAGGCTCCCACCCTAAATGGTAAATATACTATGTTGAGGAGTTTGTCCACTGCAAACATATTTCAGGCTGCTTCTAGATTTTAATTTAATTTGCATGATTGGGGTGTGATGAATTGATGACTACCACAAGTGGTCAATTTGCAGGAGGTGATTGATCCTTTTGTGTTGCCACTTGCATCGATTGGGATAAGGGGTAAGGATTGATTGGATGCGCTGTTCTCTGATATTGTGAACGTGAGAATGTCTAGTGCGTCATTAAGAGAGTTGGGAGCTGAAGTGCAATGATATCAGAAAGATTTAATAACCCTGAGATTGAATGAAGGACAACACAAAAGCAAAAATAAAAATGAGAAAACACTTAAGCAAGACACAAAGAGAGACTCCCAGTTCACCAATGGCAAAGAGTAAGGCAAAGGGGGACGAAAAGTCTGATAATGAACCACCAAGACACTCAGAACTCACAGTACAGGAAGTAACAAAATAGATCAATCAGGCTCTAGGAAAATTCAAAACAGAAATAATTTCCCAGATAACCATACAGATGGTGAGAAAAATGAACGTCATGATTTGAGACTCTA